GAGTCATCCAAATGTATGTACATACTGATAACGCTGTGTGCGTGTTACAAGAGCGAATCCGAGACCTGTAAACCTGGGGCCTCTACATCTGTTCCAGCTGTTGTCGGCTCATCGAATGGAAAGTCCGACCGATTATCGCGGATGAATTTGAAATCCAGTTTAGTGGGCAAGAAACACACGTGTGCTCGCTGTGTCGAGTAAAGTATTATGATAGAAAAACATGCGAGAGATATTCATCGAGGGATTCACATGAAAATATTTCGAAACGTTATAGGGCCTTCTACAATAAGCCATTACCTAAGTTTCAAGTATTAAGTCATAAGAAATCGACCACTCACAGCCGATTATTCTTCTCACACTCGTTTGTGATTGATAAATTTCTTATGACTTGACACTCAAAACTCAAGTAATGGCTTATGCCTGATTTATGGTTCGGTCTTAAGGACTTAATCCTAAAATTCAGCCAATAGAGTTCAAATTTCGGTTAGTACTGGTAGCTTTATTGGTTGAATTTTAGGATCTTGGGATTGAGCGTAAACCAGGCATTATTATTAGAATTCTTTTTATCGGAGATGTGTTTCAAGATTAGAAAATTCCGAAGATATCCGACGTTTCATTCGTCGAAGTAATAAAGATTGTTTACCGAAAGTAATCGACGAGAGAGTCATCGTCGGTCGCGATGACCAAACGGCAAATTCTCATGTCCGCGTCGCCGTTCATTGATGCGCGTAATATACGTGTAAGTAGGTAGAGGAGCAGATACGGCCTCGCGGCTGAAAGAAAATCTATTCAGAGCGTCTATTCATAGTCCGATAAGCGTTTTGAAGTCTGCCGTGCAACAAAAGAGGGCCGATCGAGTGCGGTCGTTTAAAGGCGGATGTAATGTATGGCGCGATGCGCTCCGCCGCGGCGCGACTCCGCACACAATCGCACGCGGAGGCGATTGTGTGCAATGGAATGGAACGGGTTTTTCAATCAGATGTTCGCTGCGGCTCGCATTCTTCGAATTCTCCCTTCCGATTACCTTAGAGGACCTCTCCGAATACCACTCGGCGAAAAGTCACAATTCTAAATTACCGATTACAAAAGGCGGGGATCGTAACGTTACAACGAAGAGACCTGTCTTCTCATCGAGAGAACAACGCCTCGCGACCTCGACTCTTTCCTTCATTCAGGGTTGCCGCAGATTTTTAATCGTAAGATCTCCTGACACTTCCCTGATTTACTGACGAAATTTTCAGATTTCCGATGATTTTTGATGAATTTTGAGATGGGAGGAACAACCGCTCTGAGAAGAAAATCTCGTCGAAAATCTGGACGAATCGGGAGAGAAAATGTGATTGTCTCGACTAAAAGTCTAATAAATCAGATCGGTTTCTAATTCGTTAATTTTCAACTCAAATTTCAATTTGATCCAATTTTTCCAGCTTTTGAAGACCAGGCCACAAATTTTTAATCGTAAAATTTCCTAACACTTCCCTGATTTACTGACGAAATTTCGAGATTTTTCCTGACTTCGAATAATACATATTTTGCAATGTTTCTTGTATTTTTAACGTAATACGGAAAATGTTAAAATATTCTGTTGATCCAGTAACGTAACATTTTCTTCAGGAAACGGATTCCAAAAAAAAAAAAGAAAGAAAAGGTAGTCCAAACCAATCATAGAAGCACAAGGCAATATACATTCATTTACAGCTATTTAATTTTCCCTGACAAGTGTGCTAAATCCCTGACTTCCCTGACTTGTGGTAACCCTGAAATTACCGCGAATCGAGGCTGTCAAAGCCATCGACGCACGGCAGGGACGATATCGATAGACGTCGATACTATTATATTTCATCCGCGATCAGATTGACGAACGAAAAACGCGCGGGTCTAAATTTAAAAACAGCTCGAACGCTCCTCGCCAATTAATGAGCGACAAACGAAAGCACGCTCTGTGAACGAGATATACATTTCCTATTCTTAACTTTCTCCCTGCCTCCCCTCCCTCTGCACGCGACACGCGCGATCGTGCGTGATGTATCTTTCTGCACGGTGTATAACGCCTCTCGCGTGCGGACGATATTTCGAGAGAGCTAATAAAATCGCCTATCGGTCGAAGCCTCTCTGGAAACGTCATCGCTGCCCTCGTGCTCGACTAAGTTTGTCGTCCGGCACTCTCCGCGGACTCGACTCGAGTCGGCATCGATCGACGAGAAGGTAACGACACGCGTGCCCCTCGGAGTGCCGTGCCGCTCGACGCGGACGAAGGAGTGCCCGTTGTATTTCCGAGAACTTCCGGAGGGAGGGAGAGAGAGAGGACAGCGACGCGATCTCCTCTCTCTCTCTCTCTTCCTCTCTCTCCTTCAGCACGTAATGGCGAGGATTCGCTCGCTCGCCATGTTAAGCCGTAATCACCCTAGCGATTCAGCGATTGTGACTGACGATTGCTTTTCAACCAATCGGAGCAAAGCAGTCACCGATTGCTTCGTTCCGATTGGTCGAGAGAAATAATCCTCGATCGCAATCGCGCGATCGCTAGGGTGATTACGGCTTCACGTGCCTTTAACCCCTTCGCGCATTCCCTCGGAACGAGAATCGCGAGAGGGGAGGAGTTATGAAATTGTTAAACCCAAATCAAGACTTGAATTGTCGGAGCGTACAATCGCTCCCTTTTCTCGAAGCACGTTAAAACGACCAATGCCATTTCGGTGTGTGTGTGTGTGTGTCACGCGTGTGTGACGTTGCAGTTTCCAAGAATTTTGTTCGTACATTTTTAGATTCGACGCGCACGCACGTTCGAATATACAGATAGAGATTCTGAAAACTACCTCGTCATGGTTTACAATGTTTACAAAAATTGACATCGCATTGGGATGACTTTTATACGCTCTGAAATACTGACAATAGGCAACGCACAGGTGCGACGGTGCACACTACTGAAACACGTGCTTCAACATCTCTCCCATGTCCTTTTAAACGTCTCTCTCCCGAGTCTCTCTTAATACGCCGAAATTCATCGCGCGTTTAACCCCGGATCTGCAATCGAGTTTTCCGAAAGAAATCAGGACGAATTATAATCGATTATTCTCCTCGAATTTTTGTCGACTGTAATTAGTTCATTTCTTACGGCTTAAAACACCGACTGTAGATCCGGGGTAAAGGTTTCGCCAGCAGTTTAAAAAAAAAAAAAAAAAAAAAAAAGTACTTATCGGTGAGAGAGTACATTTCTGCGTTCCTTTGTCCCAGGAGAATTGTCAGTATTTCAGACGTTAACAAACACACAGACGTGCGAAGCGCGCAGAGCGGAGGGAGGGGAGAAGCGGCTGTCGAGAAGCGCGGACTGGAGCGAGTTACATGTTAACGTGCACTCGAGATTCTCGAGGAGAATCGACGCGAATTTCTCGAGAACAATTACGCGGCGGAGTAGCCCGATCCCGCGTCTAACGGGAACGCCGAGCGTTGGGTCTCCCCGGAGGAGGGAAGCGTGGCGTCGAAGGCACGTACTAATTCCGGAATTCGTCGTCCAAGCGGGACGCGGTCTCCTTTTGCTCCGCACGAGGAAAACCCGTGCGTGGCGACGCGTGCGTGCGACAGAGAGAGAGAGAGAGAAACGCCCCGGGAGAGCCTCCTTCTCGCTCCTTCTCGCTTCTCCTCGTGCGCGGGGAGACCCCACAACTCTCGGCTTCGGGAATCGCTCTCCGCAATTTTTTTTTCCGCTCCACTTTTCACACACACACGCGCGCGCGCGAGAAAAAGAGATCCTCTTCTCCGACAGTCGGGACCACCCCCCTCACCCCGCCGCACATGTTAAAGGTGTCAAACGTGGGAGTTGCGTGGGCGACGGCGAGCCGCGAGACGACGGATTCCTTCTTTTTTTTTTCCTCTTCTTCTTTCCCCCCGCAGTTTCACGGAAAACAGAGAGAGAGAGAGAGAGAGTTTCGAAGGGAAACGAAAATGCACTGCTCGGGGAGAAAGAGAGAGAATACCGTGGCGTGAAATTGTTCTCTCCGCGCGCCGACTCTGCGTGCTCGCGCGGCTCCCCCCGAGACGGGACGAGAGACTCGGGCCGATTCGAGGGCTCGCGAGGATTCGGAGGCCCCGCCGTAGGGCGAAACGACACAGCCTCGCGACGGATCACGGGACGCGAAATAACGGCGGCCGCGCGGCCGCGCGTTCGCCCCGCACGCGTTTCGCCGCGCCCACGCCACTCCGCGCCCGTTAATTCGACGCGCAAAGCCAAGAGAGATTCACAATAGCGTTTACTTACGGCCCGACCGTTGTTGTTTCTGAGAGGCCTCCTCCGCTTTCGCAATCTGTCGGTCGCGCTCGGCAACTTCCGTCGGACTGGCCTGGTCAAATCAGCGTCCGACCCGCGACTGCGTTCGCGAGACGCGGGGACGCGCGATCGTCGCGCCGGCCGTACGGATAAATCGCTCGCGTTATTCGCCCCGCCTCGACTTGGCGCGTCCTCGCGACGAGGAAGCGGCGAAATTCAGCCCCGTCACGGACTCGCCCTTGATCCCGTCGGTGATGACACCACGGGGACGGGGCTCCAGACGCTACTACGCGAGTCCGCGCGATCGGAACGCACCGTCGACGCTCGTCGTTTCTCCTCGCGGGCCGACCGCCGTCGGGAAAATTCACGCGCGTCCCCGCTGCGAATTGTCGGGGCAAGCGTTTCGGGGGAAATTTCCAAAATTTCCCCCCCCCCCCAGCCCGGATCGACGGGCGGAAGCCGACCTCTCGTCTCCGCCTGGTAAGACAGACTTGACTCCGGCGGTGCGCGTAAATTCCTATACACGGGATATGGAAAAATCGAATCGCGAGGCGGATTCTCGCGGAGACGAGACCCTCGACCGGAGAGAGCGGCGATCGCGGGAAAAATTCACGGACTCTCCGCCGGGCGAATACGCCTCGATCGCGCGGAATTAAGCGGACGGAAAAGAGAGAGAGAGAGAGAGAGAGAGAGAGATCGCCGGGAGAGCAGACGCTCCGGTTGCGATCACGCCGGGGAGTACAAAGGATCTGTTGTCACACGGCCGGGGCGCCAGATCGTTTTCGGGCCAACTGTCAGTTTGGTTTCTCGAGGCTCTCGGCGCGGGCGGACATTCCTCGTGCGTTTTTAAATGTGACTCTACGGGGGACGATCTACGTTTGTATAATTTTAAGTGACACTTGTGATACACGCGCGATTCAGGTTAGTTATATCGCCCGCGAGTGCCGTGCCTGGCAGAGCGGACCTTTGTCCTCGTTCTCGCTTAATTTAACCCCTCGGTCTAGGTGCTTTCTCGTAGAGATCTCCTACTTTCCTAGCGCTCCGTTCCCTATTAAATCCCCTTCCCGTGCGTGCCTCGTTGCGGGAGGAGCGTCTCGTTAATTCAGACTCCACCGCCGTGACGCGTTTCGTGCCGTCGTGTTTCTTCTAATAAGCGTTCAAATATCGCGAGAAACGAGCGACGACTTTGAAATTCTCGCTGTGACAACTAATTTCTACGTAAATCTATGCTCTATCGTTAAGTTTGTACAAAATGTCAAACATTTAGAATGCCCACGAAAGCAACGAGTTTTATTTTCCATTTTTTTTTTTTTACGTAATAAGTGTTATTAGCAAATTTATTTTTTGCAAGTAATCACTTTTCCTATTTATGTAACTCATCAATTCTTTCAAGTAAATATTTATATATTAAAAAATTAATGAAATAAAAAGAGGCAATTTAAGAGTCAATACTACAAGTGTGATATATCTAATAGATCATTTAATATTACATTATAATAAATTTACCCTAAACAGTTCCACGCACGCAATCAAATTAAAATACAAAATATTGAAAGTCAATAACATTACGTTTCGGCTCCACATTTGAGCCCTCCTCAGATGTACAAAATATTAATTAACGCAATAAAATTAACAAAGTCATATCAATAATGGAGTTTATATATTAACATATAAGAAGTCACATTATGGAGAGACGTTAATATATTTTAAGAAAATGCTATTGGAATTATAGTATATTATCTGACATAATTACACGTGTAACTTTTTTAAAAGATCATATTCTTTGTGTGATTTTAGTATTGCCTATGTTATACTTATTTTGTATGACTTTTTATTATTCTTTTTATTCTTATGCAAGAGATAGCAATACTTTAGTATCAATGTCTGATAATTTACCAACTTGAAATACTTTCAAACTGATATATATTACCATCTATCTATTATATTGTAAATTTATTTTGTGATATTTAAAGCTAGTTGGGCTTTTCTTTGCAGAATGGCTCAGCGTCCTCAGAACTATGGGTCTACGGATCAACGGGTGGATGTACCTGAAATAGGATTTAGTCCTACTGAGCTTTATAGTCTCTGTGAAAATATTACCACTAACATATATACCATTAATGCAAGTTGGAAAGTTTTGGAAAGAGCTTATAAAAATATTGGAACCAGCAAGGATAATCAAGGATTGAGAGACAAAGTGTAAGTATAGTAAAATAATATCATTAATAATATTGAGAGAAGGCTCGACGATAATATATAAAAATCAAATTAGTGTGACGGGCAACGAGCCAAATAACAACAATAAAATTTAAATGAACAAAGACAATATATTAAATAAAAGATAAATCATTTTACTGCGGTATTCTATACAATAAACATCGTCTGCCAATTTTCGTTGCAAATTTGCTCCGTTTTGAGAATTCTAGATATTTCTTCTTTTTACAAGATAATATCGATTATTGTAATACTTTTATCACAACAATGACTAACTTAATGAATTTTTGAATAATGGACTAACGCAATTTTTATCTGACGACTTCAATGATTGACTACAAAAAATTTTAATATCTGGACATATCGCATAATTTTTAAAGTATTTTTATTGTATTAATTTTGTTCTAAAGAATTTATTGTAATAATTTCGTTGATTATTTTTTAAAATTTTGTTAACATTGAGAATGACCCGATCGGCGTCGAAACGTTTGTGTTTTTATCATTTATCTTTTATTCAATATATTGTCTTTGTTCATTTAAATTTTATTGTTGTTATTTGGCTCGTTGCCTGTCACACTAATTTGATTTTTATAAAATAATATCAAATCTTATTTTGAACCGTGAGAGTTTCAAATTAAATACCCATGAGAATAAGTCATTTACAGTCAAGCTGGATCTTGGATGCTTTTAATATAATTTCGTGTAAATTTATATACTACGTATGTAGATCCTATTATATTAGAAGCATCCAAGATCCAGCTTGACTGTAAATGGCTTATTCTCATCGGTATTAAGTAACAAACTGCAATAATTATCACGGCAAAAAATATAATAATAAGAATACAGAGGTTGATACAATATATTTAAAAACAATGCATTCAATTTAAATTTTATATTTCAATCTTTTCAGACATGTAACACAATCTAGTACCAATCAGGTGGTCACACAGATAAGCAAGGACATAGCGAGACTGACGATGCTGATGAGACGTGGGGACAAACAGCAAAAGTTACAAATTGAAAAACTCACAACAGATTTTAAAGATGCATTACAAAGATATTCCGATATGCAGAAGGTATGAGATGTCTCTAATAGTTGTCTCGATTACAAAGAATTTATAATCACTGTATCACAAAATTCTCGTTTTGTTTGATATTAATGACAATTAATGTATTCTTTAGTCAATTGTTGAGAAGATGAAGAGACATATTTTAACTATGACCAATATAGAAAATTCAATGGATGAGGATGAGGCTGAGGAGACACACCGCCTACTTCTAGTACAGGAACAAGAGCACAGAACTACACAAAGGTTTGAAAATAACATCTTTTGCATTCACATAAAACAATGGAGTATTTGTGCGCTCACAAGTAATGCAGAAAATCTTACCTATTTGCTTAGTTGGAACAATAACAATGGTTTTCGTTACATTTTGGACAAAACTGTAAGCATAGAAGCTCTCGTGATTGTATCGGCTAATGGAGATTGTAAGATTTTCTGGATGAGATAGCGATAAAACTTGTGGATTTTATAGCATGATCGTGACAAAAAAAATAGAACTTAAAATTTCAGTGAAAAGATTAATTACTTACACGACATGTATTATTAATATAGAAAACTTGTAAAATATGTATGGTAAGTCAGTTTCAATGTATTTTGTAAAAAAAAATTGGCAAAGTCTGAGATTTTATATTGGAGAAACGATATGTGATCGGTGGATGTTATGTACAGGACACTCGAATTTCAACACGGGCTACTCTTAGAGAGAGAGGATAGGATAAAACGTATTGAGGGCGATATTTTGGATGTGAATCAAATTATGCGCGAACTCGCAGCACTGGTACATCGACAAGGTGATACTATTGGTAAGCATTCTCTTTTTGCTACTAATGATCTTGTAGATACGTACATGTATATACAGGATGTCCCAAAATGACCGCAAAATATTTCGTGTGCTGATAGAGCGAACTAAAGTGAGTTAAAAAGTCCCCTACCATTTTACAATTTTCGCAGTAGTTATTTTTATCAACATGAGAGAAAAAGAGGTTCCAAAAAATTCTGAAAAAATTCTTAGAGCTCTATGAGAAGAAAATAAGTAATTTTCTTTTTTTTTTTTTTTTTTTTTTTTTGTAAAGTTGACAGTAGTTGAGTAAAAAATTATTAAAGACCAAAATTCGGCGATTTTTAGTAATTAATATCAATAGTGTTTTATTAACTATTGCGAAAATTGCAAAATGGTAAAAGACTTTTCAACTCAGTTTAATTCGCTCTATCAGCACATGAAATATTTGGCGGTCATTCTGGGACATCCTGTATATATATATATATATATATATAATGTAAATGTTCCTTATAACATAATAGAAAAGATACAAAATACACACGCTTGATAAAATTTAATAATATTTTTCTAGATACAATTGATAACCATATAGAGAATATACACGGCAATGTCGAGCTAGGAGCGCAGGAACTGGAGAAGGGAAGTAATTACCAAAGTAAATTTCGCCGGAAAGTTTATATCTTGTTGTTACTTGCGATTATAGTTGCCATTGTATTAACTGTTATTCTAGTCATTAAATTAAGTTAGCGACCCTAGCCTTTGCGCGGGTCTTACTAATTAATGAAAAGGGTTGTCTCAATCTGTCTCATATGTCGTTTGAAAGTAGTTTCTTCAAGGACCATCTCGTTTTGCCCGTTTCTGTATATTGGAGATGTAACACGAGGAGAGTATAGAGACTTATTTTATATCTGCTTACGAATGGAATTGTCTCCTGTATTTTGGAGATGTTATAGCCATTTTGAAATTTTATAAAACAGTATTTAATAATTTCATATATAAAATATAAATTTTTATAGGCTTTTTTAAATTCTGTTTTTACTCTCTAACTGAATTATTATTGAATAAAATATTAGAACATCAAAGTAAAGGTTAAAATAATGCCTTTATCATTTCTTACACGCCTATCTTATAATATACAATAGTTATTTCAAATAATATTAATTTTTTACATAATTTGAATATGAAAAATTTCGTATTCTAAAAATAAAAAATTCTATCATAAGTATTACTTTAATATTATGTGTAAAAAAATTTTTTAATATCATACGATTCAATAGCTTTAAACTACCCAATGGTGATACAAATATTCGTGTCAATAGCAGAAATTTGTTAATATATTGGTTCATAGTTTGAAAATTATATTCTTTTTTTTTAAATGTATTGTTGGTGTATATCAACTTGACTGATGCGTTTCCTTAGCAAGATCTATCTAGATATATTTAATGTTACGTAAAAGAAGAGAATTATATTCTATACAAAAAATTTGTAAACAGGTTTATAAATAGGTAAAAAAACGTACGTTTCGCGTATGAACATGAAACTGTACGAGGAGAACGTTATCTATTTATTGTCGCTATATGAAGAAATGATATTAACAAAACACATAATTATAATCAAACTAATATACAATTTTACGTATACATATTTTAATATTTGTATTAAACAGTTTCGTATATTGATCTGAATTATCAATTAGAATAAATATTATTATATATATGAGTACTAATTATAATTAATAAATTGTTGTAATGCAAGAAAAACCAAACTTAGATACACGAAAATTGTGAGCATTATAATTAGCACTATAATTGGCATATAATCAATTTGAAAAATACTCTTGTAATAAAATTGTATTATATAATTGACTTAGTTAATGATTAAGTTATATATATGTTTTCTGAACAGCAGTGTCATTTAAATTGTGTATACTTTGTTATACATTTAAATTTATATTTTTACTCTATCTATAATAATAAATATAATTACAATTGGAAATTTTTCTCATACAATATGCAGGTGCTAATTAACTTTTTACGAATAATACTTTTGTATTATTTTATCATGTTATGTAATATGTAATAATTTTTGCATGAATAATAGAAATATATTTTTAAAAACAGATGTGTATTAAATTTTATGGAAAATAGAAAAAAATAATTTTTAGAGAATATCGTAACCTAACAAATACATACAAAGTATTATTGTTGTACGTAACTTAATTTTTTTTCAAGTTTTCGGATATTATTGCGACATAAATTATTGAATCAATGCTATTTTATAATTTATATTATTGAAGAAACGCCGCCTATACTTGAAATTATGTATTGTCAGATTAAAAAATTTGATTGAGACAGCCATTTTCCTACGATTACCCGATTCTAATATGATTATTAGGCATTCCGAATCTTAAAGAAATCCAACGTATAATAATTAAGATTATAATCTGAATATTGTATATACAATTAATCACATTAACATCATTTAAATAAATAGTGCTATGATATTGATATCAATACTTACGCTTAATATCAAGTATAATAGCTTTATTATCGTTGTTGATTTGTATGTGCTAAATTAATATTAGGCATTAAATTATGTTTTGTTCTTTGCAAATAAAAGTTTTTTTATACCCTGTATATGATATGATTACGTAATATATTGATTTATACCATGAAATATAAAAATACATTTAAACTACACAATCTTCGGTATTGTATCATGGATAAAAAAATACATACAAATCAAAGATATCTATATCTTTTATTGATTTTCCAAATTGCTAGTAGAAAAATAATATCGAAGTTCAAAGATTTTATTCTTTACGTCCAATGATGGACCTTTTATTACATAACTTTTAACATGTAAAACTTATCTGTGATAAAAATATATATACATATATAAATGGTCGAAACATTTGTCGTCAGAAAATTTATATTTAATGATAGAAATCGATTTCTACATATGCGGAAAATTAATATCTATTTTCTTATACAATCTTATTTACAGAGCAATATTTTGTGTTTCGTAAAAAAAAAACCATTTTCATAACTTATAAAAGGAGCATATATGTGCTATAAAAATTCTAATTTAATATACAATGTACATACACATATATATATATATATATATATATATATATAAATATAAATACGTTCTCTTAATTCAAAATTAAGCTATTTAAAATTATTGCAATGAGACTTGTATATGTCTTTTTAAAATAGACTAATATCTAATTTTGTGTTAGTAACAATCTCCATATCATATAAAAATTAAATGTCAGTATCTTTTGAAATAGGAATTTTATATATATACATATATAGTTCCTATTAATTTCACAAAGCTCTTACACATAATTTCATATCTTGTAATGCAAGAGCATTACATCTAAGCTTTTATTTTGTTTTGTTGTTGAGATCGTCTGGCTTTTATTCGTGATTGCAATGTGAGCAATAGGCCTGCAAGAACATCGTGATTCGGTAACTTTTTCGCAAATAACAAACGCTTGACCGAATCGTCATAAGTTAAAAGAGCCACCATATTTTGTAACAGAAATCCTTGACAATATTCTAAGAGCTGTGCCGCATTATACACCTGTAAATTTAAATATTTGATAAATTATTAAATAATGATTTAAAACGCGCAATATTTGTATGAAAACGCTATTGTAAAAATGTACCTTTGCGTGAATATACATAGAAACAATGTTGTCAAGATCTACCATCGTGGAACACTGTGCTTCACAATATCTGAGCAAGCCATCGAGTTGAAAGAAATTGGCTGCTGCCATTAATTCCAGAACATCACTTTGATTGACTTCTAAAGTGGCGCAACCGCCATGATAAAGAAATTCCATAACCATCTAAAATTCAAAATACTCTTTTAAAGACAATTAACTCCTATTAACCATCTTTAATCAATTGTAAGTATTTTAAACGTACAAATTATTAAGATAATACCATTGAACAACCAAAAAATATGTTCATCATATGAAATATACGTGTAAATTATTGTAATATTATAATTTCATACCTGGAATATGTGATATCTTATGTCATTAATTTGCACAATAGGAGGATTGCCTTCGCATAGTTTGGAACTCAACATATTTCTAAATCTTGGGGAAGATGTAACCAATACAATTTTATGACCATAGAAAACGCGGCCTTCAACTCTAAATTGCACATCGCTTAATTCTGGATTATTCACAAACTTTGGATCAATTCTTGATCCACTCGAAAGCGTAGTATCTCTAATTGGCTTGATCGGTTCCCATCCGAAACACGTGCAAAATATATCAGCGAGCAAGAGCGTCGTGCCTTCCTTCTGTGGAAATAGTACAAACTGCATCTCTTATACATATAAAAATAGTATTAGTGTATTTTTTTTAAATAAATTGCATTATCTTATTTAAAATGATATATTTTATAAACACTCTTAAAACTGACGGTATTTATAAATGATGTAATTTTTACCTTACTATATCTAAAAATATTGAATAAAAGTGGTAAACATTCCTGCACGAACTGCGTGGAATAATCGTCCGGGCAAACTTGAAGAAAGTCTTGAAGTAATTGATCTATAACCGAGTCCAATCGCATTTCGTGAGCTGTCGCAAGACTGTGCATCCAGCAATGTAATGTCCAGCCTACTTTTAACCCGCGAAGTTCCATGGTGATATCTGTTAATTGTAATAAATTGTATGTAATTACGTAACTCATATAAAACGAAAATCTGAAGATTTTATTGTAAGTATATAATTTGTATGCTTATAAGAATTCTATTATTTTCTCACCTAAATGATTACTTTCCGCGCTATGATACATAGCTTCCTGTAGCGCTTTCGTTTGTATCTTATTAAATACTGGTTCCTTGCCTTCTCTGCGAGCTCCTCTTCCTTCAGCAGTCTGCTGTTGAGAATTATTACCGGCGTTACCTTCCGCTAATATCTCTTCCAAAGATAATATCTCTTTCTCTCCTCGCTTAGCCGAGAAGTTCAGTGGATGCGATAACAGTTGATGAAGACAACTTCTCTGACCATGCGCTGTAGCTACCGAGATTGCGCTATTTACCGAATATAAAATTAAAAGTTAGATTTTTGATTAATCTGAGTATACACATTCCGATCTTTAATGTCTATTTTAATATTGACTATATATATATCTGTTAATGCTCTATAGTAATTTCAATAAAATCTGACTGTGATAATAATTAAATAATAAACTGGCTTACCTGTAGCAGCCACGTTGCACGGAACCTGAATAGGAGAACGAATCCTTAATCAGAGTGGACAGAAACGGTTGCGCCCCGTGCGCCAAGAGTAGAGCTACCATCTCATTGTTTCCCGACGCTGTGGCCGCTTGTAAAGGCGTGACCGTGCATTTATCCTCGCTGAGTTTCGCACCGCCTTCCACCACGGCACCTCTCTCCAACAATATTCTAGCGATATTGCAATGACCCAATAGAGCCGTGTAAGTCAAAGCGGTCCAGTGTTGCGTCTCTGCGTTAAAGGCAGTCTGTGCGTAACACATGCCACTAGAGATAACACCACCAGGACCGTTGGGATTGTTAGACGCTACGTTCGCGTTTGGAGTTTTATTGGATGTTATCATTGCCGACTGATTGCTCGGGCTTCTAACATTCGATACCCCGGATGTTTGTGAAATCTTGGAAGGAGTATTCGACGACGAGCTTGTCGTAGGTGATGGACTTTCGATATTCAAGTCAGCCCCGGCGTCTAGTAGAGCCATTACAGCTGATTCATCACCGTTGATGCATGCCAACATCAGAGCTGTAAATCCGGCGTCATTCACCGTGTTAATTTTCGTTGAAGGCAGTAGCGACATTGCCTGGCCTATGAGATCCGTGCGTCCACTGATCAACATCTTGAAAGCCATGTCCAGCGTCAGCAACCGAACGT